ACGAGGTCGACGGTGACGACTTGGCGTCGAGCACCGCCGTCCATAGTGTAGGTTTTATTCGCGCGGTGTAGAACATTGAAAGGACCTAGGTACAGCGACTAAAGTGGCTGTCGAGCCGTCTGCGCGAAGAAAAACGTCTGAACAAGTAGACAGCTTCTCGGGCACGTACACTGGTGTCTTCTGCGACCGAGGAGCGAGTGGACGAGGATCATGTATCTGGTGAGCCAATCGATCGGTGTAACTTCCGTAGTCAAAAGTGGAAGTAGACGGACCTGGTGTTACCAGCTGTCTGTACAACCGCAGCATGTAGCCGTAGACCAGCTGGGCTGGTGTTGCGTCGAAATCGGTTTTAACCATGTTCCTTAATCCTAGGAGAAAGAGGGAAAGTGTTTTAGACCATGAAGGATCTGCGTGCGCACGTATCGCTGCATTCTACTGTCAGTAAAAGCGCTCAACCACGTCTTTAGCGGCTGGATGATACGTCTTCTTCTGGACGTGGCGGCAAACTAAGTCCTCAATCGAAGAAACAAACGGAGGAAAATTGTGACCCACGAGCAGCGCTCACTATGGCAGGGTAGCCATACTGTACAACCCAGCGTTCTAAAAAAAGGTTTCGCGACTGTTTCTGAAGAAAAAGTTGGGATTAAGACGGCCTCAGGCCATCTAGTAAATCGATCGACACAGGTCAGTAGATACACAAAGACATTCGAAGGCGGCAGAGGACCTACGCGGTTGACGTTCGCGTGATGAAAGCGTGCGTCTGGCGTCGGAAACGTGCCTAATGGGCTTCTCGTGTGCTTGTACACCTTTGCGCGTTGGTACGAAAGGCAAGCAGCTGCCCAAGTACGGACGTCCCCATTGACATTGCGCCAAACGATTCGCGCGGTTACGAGTTTAACCGATGCACGAACGCCTGGGTGAGACGCCGTGCAAGGTGTCGAACACGGTCTGTCGAAACTCACGTAGGACTATTGGGCGCGGCGTGCCCAGAAAGACATCACAAAGTATAATCCCGTCTGATGAAGTTAGTGGAACAAGAAGTATGTCCAGTGCGGGAGACCTGCGTAGTAAGTCAACCTCAGGATCGTTGAGTTGTGCTGTGGCCAGGGCTGCCAAGTTGATAGCAGTGCCAGCGTCAGTGTAGATAGCTTGGATTCGGGAAAGTGCATCAACGATGGCGTTGTGCACACCTGAGACATGCCGTATATCGGTCGTAAACTGAGCGATATAGTCAAAGTGGCGCGACTCTCTAGGAGAGCATCGGTTGGCAGTGGAGCCGAGCAAGTAAGTCAGGGGTTTGTCGTTGGTGAATACGGCAAAGGAGCGGCCTTCTAAGACGTATCGAAGGTGACGTATCTCTAGGTATAAGGCTAGTAGCTCTCTACCGAACGTGCTGTAGTGAGATTCGGTAGGTAGTAGGCGTTTGGAGAACAACGCTAAGGGTTGCCACGTGTCAATTACGCGTTGCTGCAAAACAGCGCCGAATGCCACGTCCGAAGCGTCAGTACTGAGGGGCAGTGGGATCGTGAGGCGCTATAGAAGCTATGTTGGCGATAGCCTCTTTTAGCTACTTAAAATCAGCTTGTGTTGGGGCAGGAAATTGCAATTTCCTGTTTCCCTCGGAGAAGGTCCGTGAGGCGTTGCATCAGCGAGGCGCAGTTGGGTATAAACCGTCGATAAAAGTTGACAAGCCTATCAAAAGGCCTGATCTGTTTGAAAGAATGAGGCTCGTGGTAGTCGACGATGGCTTGAATTTTATCCTGCAGTAGCACGACGCCTGCAGAGGAGATACGATGGCCGAGGAAGTTGACTGAGTTGACACCAAACGAATATTTTTGCGTTGATCGTTATCCTGTGTTGAGATAAACGATCAAAAGGTGTTCGTAGGTGCCGCATGTGCTCTTCTCGTGAAGAGCTCGCGATTAAAATGTCGTCGAGATAAGCGTAAGCGAAGTCTAAGCCGCAACAAAGTTGGTCGATGGAGCGCTGAAAAGTTTGCGCGGCATTCTTTAGACCAAATGGCATTTGCAGGAATTCGAACAAACCAAGTGGAGTTGTCACGGCAGTTTAAGCTATGTCTGCTTCGGCTACCGGAATTTGGTGGTATGCGCGTACCAAGTCGCTTTTGCTGAAGATATTGTTACCCGCCAGATTGGCAATGAGATCCACAGTTTGTGGGATCGGAGAGCGATCGGGCATGCTAACCGTACTCAAGGTTTGATAGTCGCCGCAAGGACGCCCATCCCACATTACCTTCTTCGGGACTATGTGGAGAGGCGATGCCCCTGGGCCGTTGGATGGTCTGACCATACCGAGCTGAAGCATGTGGTCGAATTCAGCTTGTGTTGCACATAGTTTGTCTGGAGCAATCCGTCTTGGTCGTGCGCTAACTAGTTTACCGCGCATGACTATGTGGTGAGCGACTTCCGTCCTGATTAGTGGAAGCTCTGCAGCCGGTCTAACCAGTCGCGGGTATTCGGAGAGGAGGCTCAACTAGTCGGACGGTACGTCTGCGATCCGAAATACAGGGCTGATTAACGGGGCATCTGAAAGGACGCCATCAACACCTAGTTTTGTATGGTCATCTAAAATTCTGTGGTGACCCGCGTCGACAAGCAATGCGAACTGGCGAAGAAGATCAATGCCGATAATTGCGAAAGGTGCTGACGCAACCGTGAAAACCCAGTGAAAGTCTCAGCGGAGATTTCAAGCTAGGTTTATCACGCGTTGACTGTGTGAAGTTATCGGTGAGCCTTTGGCTGTCCGTATATTGTACGTGAGCTTCGAATGCTTGTCTTGTGCGCTGGCAGGGATAACGTTGACTTTGGGTCATGTGTTGATAAGGAAAGTGATCGGGGAGCGCCTATCCGTGACGTAAAATAGACGACTTGTTTTGTCGCTGCCGGACGCGTGGGCCGCATTCACGCGCCGGTGAACTAATTTTCCTGTGCCACTACACCACGCTTGGCGCAAGGTGAACGGCAACGTCGAGCATTGTCACCATCATGGCGATGATACCAACACAGATCATTCGTTAAATTGGCATTTCGGGCTCGGCTGCGAGGGGGTGATGTACTGAGTCTGCGCGGTGACCTGTACCTGTACGGTGGAGCTCGGGATTGATAGCCGCCGCTACGAGTAGCGGCTGTCTCTTGGTCCGACTGAAGTCTCATTAAGCCTTGTCTTTCTAACTGCATTGTTGCTAATTCACGGCGAAGCGCGGCTATCTCTTCGTCTCTGGGGTCTGCTTGCGCGGACGCTTTCGTACTAAAGTCTCTATCAGCTAATGTGGCGAAAATGTTACCGGATGCCTTCGTGTGCTGAGGGATTCTCTCAAATGCTGCGTCTGCGGTTATGGCCAGCTCTTTGAGTGATCTATCTGGGTACGCTACGAGCATTAAAGGAAGAGGATCAGGTAGGCGGGAGAGCCACAGTTCTTTTAAAGCCGCTTCACTCATGTACGAAGGGCCAGCTATCTGCTGAATATCGCGGAGCAAGACTGAAGGCTTGCGATCGCCTAGCTTAGTGCTATTAATCAGTTGCTCCAATCGAGCACGAGCGCTGGGTTGCGACTCCTTTAGGATCAATTGCTTCATCGCTTCGTATTTACCGTCCTTCGGTGGATGAAGCAGTACATCTTCAACCAGTGTCACCACGTGTTACGGAAGGCGTGGGACGAGTTGGTTGTATTTAGCTTGATCGGTAGAGATCCCTCTGTTTTCTAGCTCTATCTCAAAAATGGCAAACCAGACGCTGGGCTTGTGTGCCATAAAATCCGGAATAGCCAAAGTGAGCAAATTCACACTACCGGCCGATTCAGGTTTTACATCGGCACCGGACATGGTATATGAGTAATGCGAGTGAAGTTTAAAAACAAAGTGATGGCGAATAATGCACTATGGATTAGGGAATAAATTGGCTTGGAACGAGCCCAACGAAAACGAAACGACCAAAACATTTGAAAATTCGCGGGTGCGTATCGGGGTCACGAATTTGTAGGATTGGTCTATACTAGTCTGAGAGTGTCCTTACTCTGGTGCGGATACCAGAAAGCCGGAAGAACGGATTGTATTCGAGAAAGGCTACAATCGGACCAAAAATGGATGAAGCGACGAGAGTGTACCTCAACGTCGGAACTCACCGTGGACAAACGTGATGAGCCGGACGTAAGTAGAATGACCGTACGGTCGGCATTGAAACAAAAACTGATCTTGTACGACTGAGAAAAAAATGTGTACATAAGACAAGAAATATCTTTTACGTTGCTGCACAGTTTGAAGACAAGGGAGGTAGTGCTGGCTCCACTCGTCGGAGAATACTCATTTGACTCAGTTTCTTAACGGAAATGATAAACTGTCCCCTTAAACCCGACCAGTGACGAAGGAGGTGCGTCTATCGTTTCATCCTCGTTTATGTTCGCACACACAGATGTGGTGGTTGGCAGCAACCGTTTCCAGATTGGCCTATCACTGAGAGTGCGAACAGCTACGGGATGCCCGGGCATAATAATGAACCATGGGTGTAAACTCAAAGGAATAAAACCGGAAGGCATACAGATGGGAGTCACAAATATTTCGGAATCGTTCCACACTCCAAGCGAAGACACCTACTTATTCAATTCACTTATCATCGCTTCGATATTAGCCCCTCGTGGCTAAATTGATGGCTCCCCGGACCGGCTTGGTGGAGACACACACGACCGCATGTGCTACAGCACCATGTGCTTGACGTCGATGATCTAAGCTCCATCGGCGCATGTCGCTATGGTTACCGGTGTTTTTTTCTTCCAATGCAACAGTCCATTCCGGTGCACTTGAGCAATCGCATCCTTGACGGGGTCGAGCAATCGGCGGTGATCCACTACCACTGTTTCCTACGACTCAAGGTCAGCAATAGTTCCTAACGCACATACATATAGCTGCATATATATGCCAATATGTTTGAGTCGTTCTGATATCCGCATGTTGAATTTCTTACGATTTACATTGTTTTTCTCATAGGCGATTCACTTGATGGTTGGTGAAACCGATCAGCACGGTGAAAACAGCCCGGCGGAACGAACAAAAGCCATTTTCGCAAAGATGGACACGAATGCAGATCGATTGCTGACGAAAGAGGAATTCATCAAAGGTTGTTTAAATGATCAACATCTCTATCGGTTGTTGTCGCAATCAAATGACACAAAAAACAAGCTGTAACACCTGGTTGCCAGTGTCCTCCTTTGTGGATAACTTAAAATCTCGCGACCACCGAGAGGGAAATATAAGCGACCACTATGTCTAGTGTGACATCTGGAATACAGAGTTGTTTCTTTCCGAGTTTCGTTTCCGTTTCTGAATGCGTTTGTTCTTTGTTTTTTCCCAGTATTTGACTGCTGCTGTATCTAACAACATTGTTTATTTCATATGAAATAGACCTATCATTGTCCATTTTGAGATTTGTGCCTATATGCGGCAGAATTAGTCACTTGAAGTAAGAGCCAGTTGATTTGTTTCAAGTGTGTTGTACGGATAGATTATGTGCAGTAAGGTAGGATTCCATTTCCGGTCGAATATGTACCCAATCGAAATGCAATAGCTAAAAATACTATCGAAGCAATGCTAGTAGCTGAGCAAGCAGCCGAGAGAAATAGGAAAAGTATGGTGGACACGACTGGTTGCGACGAAAATATGGTAGTCGGTTTAATTCAGTTTGCTTGTCTTGATCCGTTACCGAGAGGCAGTGGATCAGGGTAAACCGGCAAATCAAGAAAAATCACCACAACAGGCTATGAAAGATGATAACAATAAGAAGAAACGAAGGAGAACCAAACTAGTCAGATATAATGGCAACGGTTCTGGGCTGAGTGATTACATGGAAGATCGCCGCTAGTTTCTTGATGGTGTCCACTCATTGATGTGGCAGATTCCAAAGACCCCATCCGGAAGAAAACCAGCACCAAGCTGATTCGGCTATTCGGTGAAATTCATGATTTTTCGCCATGTCAAAGGGGATCCACCACGTCATGATATCAGCAAACTAGACACCGTTTTGACAAACATTGCATGCCAACGGTGCACACCACTGTGTCAGCGATGGCCAATTGAGTTCAACGAAAAACTCTGTTAGAAACCAGTGGGATCGGCTTGTAGTCGATTGACATAACTTATTTGTTTCGTAATCCAGTGAGCACTAGTTCGAATTTGTGTACATGCGAGCGACTTCACGGTACCTCTAAACCGCTCACGACAGGTGTTTGTGTGCCAGCGACGTGCCGGTATATGCTACCGGGGTACTGATGATTTCTTCTCAACCGCCAGATAACAAATGAGAAACGTCAGAATTACTCCTTTGGCTCTCCCAACACATAAGAGCGATGTTTAACGATCAAACGCAATTGGTGTTAACATCCTCATTGGGATGGTTCCAATGGTCTGATCCTTCAGAGATATGCGTTAATTACAAGAGAAAAGCTCAGCGGAAATGGAAACATATTTGACTGGCAAACAATTATACAGTAAGATTGATCCCTGTTATAGCGGTATTACTCTACCGGTTAGACGCTTCATACGATTTGAGTAAACAGCTTTTCTGTGACTCAGCCCAATATCAACCAATCTGTGAAACCGCACAGACCGCCTCGTAAACTTGTTGCATCCAACCATCGATTCCGATCGGTTTGCGTGCACTTGGCAAATCGCTTCGCCTTGCGGACGAGTCTGATTACTCAGAATTCATATCCACCACACCATAGCGGGCGAGCATTTAAGCCCCCTACAGTTAGGTGAAGAAACGGACAACTTGGCAGATGACGCACCCACTCGGTCAGGATTGGTGAAGCACGGAATGTGCATTCCGCATGTCTTATTTATATGAATTCGAAAGATACAACATAGAAACGAAAGAAAAGGTGTATCATTAGAATGACATACTACAACATAACGCAGTCTCGATGGTGACGATGAAGAGTATGTTAGCCGGTTTACTTGTAAGCACTTTCCGAAGCAGAAACGTGGAATGATACTAAAATGCGTTGGGGACTAAATAACTGAATGGGTATATTTACCGACTGGCGGGATGCTCTTTGGAGAGCAAAAGAGATGCGACACTTATGAGCAGCGCGGGGGCAGGTTACTATGTTGAAGATTTCCACAATCCATCTTTGAGTCGATTTTCAAAGTATAATGACAGTCCGAAGGTACTTCACCAGCGTATGACAAACGACCGAAGAAACATGCCAAATATAGAGAAGCCATCAACATTCAGTAATGATGATAATGACAGTTGACAATAGATACAGCGGTCGGCTTCAATAATGTCGGGTAGTTATATCTGACATGTCAACGTCCCAATGGAGCCTAAGGCAACCGACAACCGGAGCAGATATGGTGAGCTCATAGAATTGGTTTATTAACCGTCTGGGATGGAATCAGCTTGAAGCGTCATGAAGTGTAACAATTGTTCAGTCATATTTGCCGCTGTTCCAAGCACTGAATCCTACGACGGACATATGTCAGATAAGTTGGAACGATAGACACCAAACCATTTTAGGCGCGGTCTTCAAACCGGCCTTTGCTGTGTTCTCCTGAGTGTACTATTTTTACGCTATCTGCTGCGGATGTATCAATTTTGTTTTACTGTTCCCGCATTTTTGTTTATGTGGATTATTCTGAGGTCATCGATGTTATTCTCCACTGCCGACTTTTTGAAGTTGTTCAGAAACGCTGTGAAAAGTGCGCCTTATATCGCATTCGGTCACAAATTCAGTAAGACCATCAAACGAATTTTAAAACAACGCTTTGGCTAAAGAAGAAAACACCGTGCTGGTTGTCAAGCCGGACTCAGACGTGGTCCAATCAATAAAGCGCAAATTCCGCTAATTAGCTTTAGCAATGTGCGCTTCCTGCTTGGCAAAATTGTTGAACTCAAGACCACTATACAGCATAAGGAACAATCAAATGTAGGTATCTTAATGATACAAGAAACTTGGTTACATCCTGATGTGGACGATAAGGTTATCCAACTAGATGAATACCGCGTCGTGAGGTCCGATCGTTCTGGAAAGCCGCAGAATCACGGAGGACCCGTAGTCACCTAAGTGAACCAGTCATGATGTAATTCGATTACCTTGCTTTCTATATACTCAACAGCAAAAATTAGCTGCCCTTTACTCAAGTTTAAACCGAAATTTCTTGGTGAATTTCTTCCCGTGGTCATGGGAAACATCTACATGACCCCCGACACGCCTACGACTGAGCTCAAAAATTTTGCTGATCATTTCTCACCAGCGTTACTGACTAAAATTGAGTGTTTTGCTTTATGGTTGCTGGTGATTTTAACAAAAGTGATCCGAGGTTCCTCAAGACACACTCTAAAAAACACGGTATCTTACAAAGCCAGGCTCGATGCGCCATTGGATTTTGTTTTCACAAACAAAACTCATTCGCTTTCTACTTTAAAGCGAGTTCCTCTCGGTAACAGACCACTGTGTCCTGAAGGTATTCCCACTTATTTACAGCAAGACAAAACTCGTGTCCTTGACAAAAAGGACTTCAGAACCATCAGACGGCAAGGCTGATCAAAAGAAAATCTCGCAAAACTCCACGCTATGCTGGCTTCAACTGACTTTTCAGTTTTCACAAAAGAAAACCTACCACTGGAGTGCGAATACCTTACCGAGTATATTAACTTCTGCTTTGATCTATGCTGCGTACAAACGCATGGACAGATTCTTTTCACCACTACCGAAGCGATGTGGACGAAAGTAGGCCTGGACATAGAAATTCAAATTGGCGGCCCAAGTTAAAAGACTAAAATTGACAATAAAAGCAGTGATAACGCGACTGAATAGTTTGTACATTGAAATTGTGTTGGGTAATCAAGATTATCGTGAGTTCTGCAGGTTTTTCAAGCAGCTGTGTTGCAAAAGTGCCCTGAAGCGTCTTGATAATATAGATGTGGATTGACTAAATGCCGGATTTTTTATTCTTCCCCATAGGGTAGCTGTTCCCTGTCATCCTTCCCCTACAATGGCCTCGTAGCCACCTTTGATCACATGGACGTTTACAACGGACCCAACTAATCGAACTAAAGATGCTAGACCTGATGCTGTATTCACACTTGCCGTAAAATAATGCACAGATTATGTCGCACTACTAGTAACCGCTCTATTCAACCGCTGTCTTATGAGTGGCGCAATCCCTAACAGTTGGAGACCTACAAGGATAAGGCAAGTGCCAAAGGAGAAATCTCAAAGCTGACGTCCGATTGCACGTACGTCGGTGATGTTGAATCATTTGAGAAACTACTTGTACCTCGGATCTCCAAGCGCACCCAGGCAGACAATGTATATCAGTTTGCTTATAAACCCAACCGCTCCACACTGAGTGCTGTATCGTACCTTGTACATAAGGTATCATCGGCACTGACAAAAAAATGCAGAGCAGTGCGTCTATTGTTTCTCAATTATTCAGCTGCTTTTGGGAGTGTCAACAGATCAATTCTACACAACCAGCTGCTCACGATTGGGGTAAATACAAACGGCTACAGTGCGATCACAGACTACTTTACAGATCGTACCCACTTCACCCAGCTTAACGGGAAAAATTCCTCTACACTCTGCTGCTATCATGGTGTTGTATAAGGAGCGATTCTCTCTCCCCTTCTCTCTTCGCTATATATCGAAGAGCTTCCTATAGCTTCCAACTTTATCGGATGCAAATATGCAGATGATGTCGTCATAGAATGTATATCTCCAACCCTTGATACACCTACTCTCCAGAGTGGTCTGGATGAGTTTGTGTTGTAGTCATCGATACGGTCTCTCATTTTAAGCATGTCTAAACGCCGTGATATAACATGTTCTTTTCTTCGGCTTGGTCAGCTGCAAGCTATTTCGAATGTTGCTTCCTTACTGGAAGTGAGTGATCAACTCATACACAGGACATCGCCTGTCAAGCAACGGAGTTTTTTTAATTTTAGAGTATTGGTGGTTTTGTGAGTAGTGTAATATTGTAGAAAGTAGAAGCCACGCTCGGACTTTGAAAAATAATCTGCCTCGACGGTGAAACGAACGCCAGACATACGGATTATCGGCCAACTGCTCTACCAACTGAGCTATCGAGGACTGAGGATCAGGTGCGCCATTGAACACATGACTTCTGCTTGGTTCGCGACGTATTGCTAATAAGCTCACAGTATCTGTCCCGGTGTTGCAGATTGGCTCACTCACTCGTCACTTCCCAATGAACCGAAGTATCTGTCCTTCAGATGTTCAAAGGGCGATGGTAAATTTAGATTATTGGTGGTTTTGTGAGTAGTGTAATATTGTAGAAAGTAGAAGCCACGATTAAACTTTGCACAATAATCATGGTCGACCCATGTCACTGAAACACTTGACAAGGTTAGAAAGCTATCTTCTTTGCCCTCAGATTTAAAATGCTTTCGCTA